TAGTACACAAACACTCTAGAGTTGTGGCAACTTTCATAAAGACACTTCGATACACAAAAAAAAACCCCTAAGCTGCAGTCTAAGTTTGTTTGCTCGGTTTCTTTGAAAGCTTTCAAGACTATTAGCTATGACTATAGATAAAGCTGATTCTGTCCACAGGTAAAGGAGAGCGGAAGGGTCCTTAAGAGGTTGCCTAGTCAATCTTACTTCCCATGAATTAGCAGTAAACTCAGTTAGCATTACCAAGTATGCTAGGGGAAGGGTACAAAAAAGTTATTTACCAAACTGCTGTATTGCTCTATCGGCGCTCCACGGCAACTCCAGAGTCATGTGAACTCTCCGTCTCTGATTCTTAGCTCTGCGGTCTGCTTGCAATGATATACCAGAGCTGGCAGCCTCCGAGATTATGGCAATGTTCTTTTATTAAGAAAGGAGTTGTTAGTTAAGCAATAAATCCAAGACTAAGCTTCAGTTTTCAGTTTCTAAAAAAGTTTAATTTTACAATTACGAGTAACACTGGTCTGGAATGGTTTCACTCTTATTTGGTCTTCCTATCACAAGGCGGGGAGGGGAGAAAAAGTATGGTTCTCTATCAGACTTAGAAACACTAATGTTTTTTTTAAGTGAAAGGAGTGGTTTTCACTTTTCTTTTCAGCAACACATTTCTGTGCAAATGAAGAAAGGCGGTATGTTGCAGTTTTGCCATTCCAAAGGGCAGGTTTCTCTGATGTTGGCCTGCCCTCCAGAAAGAAAAAAGTGAAGGGACACAGGGAGACTTGCTCTGATAGCAACCAACAGAGAAGACACAAAGTTGCTGCTAATGCTGTATAAGGAAGGGGATACGACCATTGTAGTATCTGAATGCATTTGCCTTGAAAGAATGTGTTTTGACTGTGTGCGAGTCACTTACAGGAACATGAGTATTTACCCTCAAGAGTAACAACAGACCATACAAGTTCCACACAACAACTACATTTACTCGATTTGCCCTCTTGTGGTGGCATGTCCCAAATGAACCACAGAAGTATTTTTTTCCCCCCTCCTTTTATCAGCTTCAGTTCTACTATTATTACAGTCAGTGTTTTCTTTCAGAGTGCAACGCAAAGGACAAAAGCTATCACTCCTCCCAGCATTACTTCTCAGTGCTCGTTAAGGTAAACCACCTCCACCTTTTCCCTTCAGCCCCTCACTGAAGTTTTTTCTCCCTCTCATACCAAGTCAGTCACCGGTTTTCCCCATTTCTCAATTTCATTATTTCCTCTTGGAAGCAGAGGTACACGGTAATCCAGGTAAAGGAATCGCAAAGATGTGGAGGGTTTATCTGCCTTTTAAACACACACTGTTTGACGAGACCAGCTCAGAGGTGCTAGCTTTCAGTTTGGCACGTGTGTACACACCTCTTCAGCACAGGCCTTTGTGGCCACCCAAAGTACAGCCTGACCTTTAAAGCATGCTGCAGCCACATATTAGACTGGACTACTGAACATACTGGTTTGAAAAAACAAAACACACAGCAGTGAATAGAAAATGCTTTCTAACTAGTACTTACAGTACCTAAAAAGTCACTGTGGGGTAGTGGTAGAGCCACAACTTGAATAACTTAATCAATGTTACTATGGCACCTGGCAAGTTTTTCTGAATTGTATCTCTTTAAGGACTACCTTATCTCCATCCATGAACCTCTGCTTTTCCGTGATGTTCAGAATTTCAACGGGCACATCAAGTTCAGATCTTGACTCATAAGATATGCTGCCATCATCATTGCTTACAACTCTCCCTTTGCGGCCTGTCATCTTTAAAAATAAAAGGGAATACAAGCTCATTATAGCAATACCAAAGTTATTACATGACCAAAAACTTCAAGCAATGCTGCTATTTATTCATACTCCAACCTTAAAATAGATTCAGCAATTTACTTCAAGTGCAAAACTACATTAGAGAACCGGATTATTTTTTGGTTGATGCCATTATTGGCTATGTGGAACACTTATTTAGGGTAACTCAGGGAATCAAAAACATAACAAAGCGCATCTATGTAGAAATGACGTAGTATTGTAGTACTGTCCATAAGGGATTTACCAAGAGTACTAAGAAAATATAAACCGAAATGACAGCTGAGACTGTCACTGATTTTAATAGGGTCTTTTAAATCGCAATGATGTTTCTACTTGATAGAGACGGGTAGCTTTAACTAAAGACTTGTTTCTAAAGTTATTGAGAAGAAGAGATAATAATTCGTCAGGCTTTTCACTAACGCAGTTTTATTATACAGGTTCTTAATCTTCATTGCCTAGGAAGATGAACTAAAGCTGCTTTCTGTTTTATATACACCAGCTTCAAACTGACTACAGCTACAGAAATGTACCACTATAAAGCAAAAGAGAAACTACTAGTATGATTTACCCAACAAGAAACTAATCAGTCTCAGAAGTAACCTACTTACCCATTCAGAGCCCTTCTCTCTATTCTCATATAATCCTCAAGTTTCTTTTTAATTCAGAGGCATCCAGTGAAAGTAACCTATACCCTTATCCCTGTGAGATTACTGTTTAAAACTGCTAAACAAGTTCTCTTTAATAGATACTTAGGTCACATGCAACCTTGAAGAACAACAACACCGACTTACTGCAGCCAGATAATGTATGGCTGCAGTAGAAAAAAAAACATCATTTTTCTCTTAACATGAACACCAGCCTACCTCTGCAACATTTTCAGGGCCACCCAGTTCATCTATAAGCTCATCCAGTGTATTAGGTGGAAGATCTTCAGCCAGCTTTTCCAGTTTATCAAGCAGTTCTTTTTTCATTTGCTGGGCCCTTTCAACAGCATCCTGACTTGTTACAAAGCTGCTGTTTGTGTTACTGTTTGCTGAAATTTAAGAGAGACTCTTTAAGATTTAGAATTTCACTGCCTCATTGCTAAGAAAGTGAATTAACACCAAAGAAACTTATTCTTACCTGACGTGTTGGTACTAGAAGTGGTGGTACCAACAGTGGAAGTAAAACAGCTAGGTCGTTTTGATCCGAGACCAGAAGCTAGTAAGGCACTTTGAATAGAATCTGGGTCTATACTTTTCTTCTTTTTCTTGTCTTTATTTTTTTTATGCTCTTTTCTAATTAACCAGGGATCTAAAGTTAAATAAAGTTATTTTCAAAAAGTTTCAAGCATTTAATAAAAAGCCATCCTTTCCTTTAAAAAACTACGCTCTCATTACAAAAGGTGACTTACAAAAGTCTGAACTCCAGTGTGTAAAACTGACTTAAAAGAAGATGCAAATCAACACTCTAGTACTAATTCCAGTCTCATTAAACTACATGCTTATCACACACTCTTATTTTTGGCTCACTGAAATGGTTAGGAAAGACTTTACGCTTACTATCTGCACGTACAGATACTTGCTTGATAGAACACTTAAACCGTCTTACCATCTTCATCATCTTCACTGGATTCATCTCTGAATGGGTTGAAGTCATCATCATCTCCAGAACTCAAAAACCTGGAGCTCTCATTGTCACTTTCTTCATTGTCTGAAGCATCAGACTCACTTTCACTCTCATCAGAGCTGCTACCTGCAAGGCCACCTGTTTTGCGAGCTTTTTTGGCTTCTCTGCTTATTTCTTCACCTAATTCCAGGTGAATTACCATCACCCCAGAAAAAAAAAGTTAGTTTAGATCTTGTAGTCTACCTTTTGAGGTTTGTTTTACCACCACTGCGTGCAAACTAGAAAAATATTCAACTTCTAAAAAAATAAGTGTTTAAAAGAATCTAATCTAAGTTTTAAGTAAGACCTCTCTCCCCAGTTTTTGTTATGATCACCTACTTTTTGGTAAGAATCATTATCAGTTTGGGAAGAAGCGTGGTATTAGGCTTCTCTTTACTGAGCCTCAAGAAGAAAGCAATTATTTGCTTGACTGTATCAGGAAGTGGTCTGACATGTGCAAGGCGTTTTGGGATACGATCCTATACTAGATCAACCCAATTTTGAGCAAAGTAGTAACCAGAATTTACAGGTTATATTGCTTCAGCAGCAGTTTTAAAATCTATTAATCAAAATTTCTAACAGAAGTCTTAGACTTGTAATACATGCTCTTTCACGAATGACTGTACTGATATTTACATTCTGATATTTTTTCCAGAGTTCACTCTTAGGCAGCTCTAAAATTGCCATTTCACTATGGCATTAGTGTAAGAACTTAAGCATTACCTTTCCGTTTCTTTATTTTGTTCTCCTTGCAAGGGCTGTCTCTGGGTGAATTGTTATTACTTTGAGCGGTCAAATCAATTCCCAACAAGCTAAACAACTTCTTCCTGTCAGGAGCTGGAAAGTGCTTTTCAATAAGAGACTGGAATACTCCTCTGTTTAAGAAAAAAGGGTTCTTCAGTCGAATTTGCATTTATTTAAAGTAGAAACCTGTAACATTTTAACAGCTTGCTTGACTCTTCTGAAGAATTATTCCCTGTGAACGCTATTACGCAAGCACTCGGTATAATTATCACCCATATTACTGTATTTGTCACCTTCTTAAAAGCAAGACATTTACTTTACAGCGCTGTTACTTATAACTTCTGAAATTTTTTTTTGGTATCAAGTGGTACTGCTCCTGCCATTTTCTTATTGCTCAAAGTTTAAATGACAGATTAACTTAATAAATTAAGATCTTCAGCAAGGTAGTCTCAGGATTGGATCTGGCTCATCTGATAGAAGAGGGAAGCGATGATTGCAACTTGCTTTGGTATAAATGCAGTGTACACTTGGCAAGTCTTCCCCTCCTCCCCACTGGAGCAGAACAGTACCAGCTGTTGACACCTGAAAACATTTCACAGAGTGCCGGTAGAACCAGGAACTAACCACTGGTTCACTTCAGCAATACCATCAGATTTTACGTACAGGCAGCTTAAGTAAAGAACATTGGTACTAAAGGATACCCAGCCTTCTGTACAGTGATGCATGTTTTACACACGAAAGGACAAATTACTACACACACTAAGCTGGACTAAGGTTAGTTTTGTAAAGGACAGTTCTAACAAACTTCAATCTTACTTTGCTGTAGAAACAAAGTCATTCAGTTCACCACCACCTTCCTCCAAAGCTTCTAATGTTCTTGCTTCTCCTGTTGACTGCAGGCCAATAACAACACACTAAGGGACAAATGAATACAAGGCATTGTCACTAAGAAGACTGACTTGTAAGTTTATTTTTGCCTGAATTTCTGCTCATTAAATAGCTTCAATACCATAAAGTACAAAAGCATGCTACTACTATGTCTGAAAATATTTGTGTTCTAAACAAAAAAAATAATCTATTAGCTTTACATTTAACAAAGGATTTAAAAATAGGTCCTGATCAACTTACTTTCCCATTCTTGATTTCTTCTCGAGCTAGCTGCACCACCCTCTTCACTTTAGATGCTATGCAAAGGTACTTGAAAAACCTCTGATGGGCTGACCAAAACTGACCCCACATAGACTTTTTCATTCGTTGTTCTGCATCGATAAGATCAGCTGCTTGTTGAAACCTCTCTCTAGCACTGACCCACTGAAGAAGAAAATGTTAATTGTTTTACATGTCACATTTCAAGGCTACATTGTTTAATATCCAAATAAAGACAGAAGAGAAGTTTACAGTTACAGTACTATGGGACTCTGCAGGTCAAGGAAACTCTTAATACATCAAAGCAAGCTCACAAAGAAAGAAAATAACTATGGCTTAGTAAATTCAGAAGAGAATTACTCTCATAATGGAAAGCAGATACATTTACATTACTACCAATGCAACCATACACAGTATTTTCTAATTATCTAGTTTCTCCATTAATAGAGTCAGGTTAAAAAAAGCAAAGAGCACTGCCTATAGTTAAGTACAAAGCAAGATCCCAAGGAGAGAAAAACCCCACTGCCTTCGTTTCTACAACGTTTTGTTATACCAATTGTTTCCAGACTAAGTAAAGTAAGCTTTGGACCCAAGTTTAGTGATTCTTTTAAACAACATTCATGAAGTAAAGTGCTGTTTTAAAGTTGATGTTATACACCTGTCAAAGATAAATTTTAATTATTGTAGCTATACAACATGAATAACGAGTCATCCTTAAGCACCTCTTAAGCAGGTAAAGACCCTGCTCATTTTAATCTATGTCCAAGGAGTAATTATTTTTATCTAATACAGCAGTGGTAATGTACAAGCAGAATGTACACTCAGAAAAAAAGACACTCAGCTTAGCGTATGGACAAAACAATTAAGAACATGAAAAAGATAACCAGCGGGTGAATAAAGGAAAACATTAAAGGGAACCACAACTTCAATGTGTTTGATTTGATCTGCCATGTGATTAAAACTACCACCCTTCACTGTTTAACTACAAGCACCACTCCACCATACCGCTCCAGTGAAGAAGTGCATGCAGCCTGTCTAATGTTCTGCAGCTTGTTCTCAGCTCAGTTGCCTAAAGGGGGAGGACTGGAGCACAAGAATATGACCAACAGGTGAACAGCTTTATCTCAGGCAAGTGGATCTGGCAGATACTGGAAGATGCACCCAAAACCGCAGCTTTTATGACTCAGAACAAGAATTAACAGCTTCTGCCAAGTCTTAAATGGAGAAATCTTTATACTACATTGAGACAAGAAGATGCCATTCCTATCTCTCAACAGGCTATTTCAGAAGCATTCAAGTTTAAACCAAGTAACTTCAACCTCTCAGAACTCAATACAGAAAGCAAATTTAAAAAGGCGTTCTTACCAGTTTCACAGATTTATTGTACATTTTAACATATTCCTGTGAAAGCAGAACTTCATCAATTTTGAAAGTTACACCTGAAAAACTCAACTGTCTTGCTATGTACATTCCTCTCAGCTTCATATCCATAGCAACTATTTCCATGGCACCAACACCTCTAAAATAAAGGAACAAATTAAGTCAATATTAGAATTTTCAAGAGCAAGGATTTGTTAAAAAAAACCCTCAAGTACTTTAGAAGAAAATAGCATGCTTACAAATGTGAAGGAATATGTTTTCAAAATCATTAGTACTGTTTCGTTAAACACATCGAATCAGGGGGTCTTGAAATTTAGCCTTCACATAAAACTGTATCATTGCCTCGTGAGTATTAAGTGTATCCCAAGAGGTATAAACGCTCAAATAGTTACTTTTTCCCAAGTGACCTAGCATGCATTAGGAGACAGTACCTTACAAACTGTAACTGGATAGTGAAGTTGATCCAAACATATAACAAAATCTTGCATTGCAATTTTATAAACTCCACTGAAGATTTAAAATAATGAATACAAACTGTATTAAGCTATTCAGATTTATGCTGATATGAAAATAATTAAATTAGTAGGTAACTTAAGTTTTTTTCAACAGCAACACTTTTAGCAATACCTTGAGAGCACAGAAGTCAACTGCAAAGCTAACCTACTCACAAGCTTGGGCCTGTAATTTCATTATTGCTCAATTGATATGTACTCAGTAATAAAGCGGAGACTACACTTGCAGAGTCTAGAAAATCATGCATCATGTAGATGGTATGCAAGAAGATGCATACTAAGCCCTACTGTAGTACTCTGAAGTGTTCAAAATTCTTTTTAAGTGGGCAAAACACAATTAAGATGCTCACCTACCAAAGAATGTAGCAGTTGCATCTTCCACTGACCTCTCACATTTAGTTTTTTTAGTAAGTTCTGAAATATAAGTACCTTGCAACAGCACGCAGTTCTTCTGAACTGGGTTCTTATGCCAGAAAGCACAAGAACAAGACTTCTTCCTGTTAAACCGCCTAAGCTGAATGCACAAACATTAGAGGGCTTTGCATATAGTGAGACATCAACTATACTGAGCATACTCAGTACATAGTGTGTTTTCATGATAAGCAGCAAAATATTTTCCTTTCATAACACCCACATTTTAAGAGGGCTATTTTCCCAGGAAGCTTCTAAAGCTCTCAAAAATTTCTGTGAGCAAGGGAAACTTCCCATTTTTTACCACATGAGATGGATTACATTTCTGCTAGATTTAGAAAGTAGAGTCAGAAAGTTCTTAGTGTGACAGGACGAGTTTGCAGAGGACTGAGTGAGTGAAGACAAAGGAACTAGAAAGCACAGTCAGCCACAACCATGTGCATTCTTGCTATAGCTCTCCAAAATATTACCTTCTTTCAACAGCCTGAATAAAGTCACTGAATTCCCTAAATGGAGTTCCTTCACCCCATATTCCAAGACGGTTCATATATGCCATATTTCTTGGCTCAGATGCACCTAGGAGAAGAACACACTCTGTACCAATGCCAGTAAAAACACAGACACATTTAATGCAAACCAAGTAGTACATACCTGTGGCACTAGCATAAACAACCCTGGCTTTTGGAAGTTTATTTTGAAGTTCCAATACCGCCAGACCTGTTTTTGTTGGTTTTGATGAACCAACAGGACACAGATTCTTAGCTTTATGACACTCATCAAATACAATCTGACCCATAATTAAGGAAAAAACTTTGTCCCACTTATTTTTAGAATGGAGAGCTAAAACAGAAGACAAGAAAATCTGCTAATTACAATAGGGGGCAGCAGTAAATTGTAAACTGAAAAAGACACTAGTCATTTTTTCACTAAAAACTTCAGGAAAAATATTTCGCTAGTAAGTATTTAAGAGCACAATTACCAACACTTGAGTTCTTTAAAATGCTGTTGATAATTCTTTAAAAATTTTTTTGAGTAACTGGTAAAAATTTCAGTGTAAACTTAAGGTTCTTAAAACATATTTTAATTTTATGTATTCATTATAGAAAAAGCAGAAGCTTCACTCTTGTACCAGAGTTGTGTGGCAACAATATGATGGCAACAACATACAGACAAGTATGAAGTCTGTAAAACTTCAAGTCTAATGTCAGAACATGCACGCAAGCGATTACTGTCACGAATAAAGAACAATACCTAAAAATACCGACAAATAAAAATACAAGATTGTCTTTAAAGATGTCAGCTTAAATAGCAATTTGGTTACAATCAGCTGAACTCCAGATAAAGGATACAACTCCATCAAAGTCTTCACCACACCAGTGAAGAAGCTGCTTTAATCTGGTTTTGTATTTACCACCAGACTGACTTTCACCAATAAGAGAAGAATAGGTAGCAAAGATGACACCTTTCTTCACGCTTCCATTGTGTTTGGAAGAAATTTTCCCATACTTGAACTGCAATAAAAAGATAAAAGTTACAGAAATTATTAAAAAGAGATCCCTCCTCAAACCCACCTACCATATGATTAAGGCACGCTGGGGGTCTTAACCTTAAGGTGGGTACACTTTGAACCACCTGTATCCCTACGTCACGACTAGGGCACAGCTGGCATACGGTAATGTGGTTAAGGGGTCATACAGGGCCTTCCTTACATACATACTTAAGGAAGGCTAGGTCAGAGGCCTCAAAAGATTAACAGCCACCTTCTTTGACTACATGGTTTCCTTAACTTAAATACAATTAATATTTTAGTTTCAATGCATCCCTTAGAGCTAACAAGTCAAGTGTATTTACAGCTGCTACCACAAATGACAGTTTCTAAAGCTTTGCTGTATTTTAGAAATTAAGACCTCACAAAGCAACAACGCTAACTTAAAACAAACTTTAACTTCAGTGATTTCAACCAGCAATCACACTTCACAATTTACCAAGTGGCTAATCCTGAGCAGAGGCCCAGTCTGCAAAGATAACTGCACATGCTACTGCTGCTTTATTAAATTACTGAGGAAGTCTATTATTCAAGCATTACATACAAAATGTATTACATATAAAATGTGCGCTGGGAGATAGAAAGGGAAAAATTCAAATGCTACAAAGTCTAAAAGATTTAAAGAATATTTCAACTTTTAGAAAATACTCTACTAATAAGTGCCAGTAGTGGCTTGAAGAGTAATGTTTAAAAAAAAAAAATCGCATACTAAGACTTAATCCTACAAGGGGCCTATTTACATTATTAACTTAAAGGACTGTGCGGTTCTTCATAAGATTAAGGCCTGTCAAACAAGACCGAGACAGCAAATTTATTGAAATTAGTACATTCTTGCTCTTAAAACAGTCAACATGCACAACTTGTCACACAAGCGTACCTAAAGTTTTGCCTCAACTGTACATAGTAAAAAGTTTCCACACCTTGTTTAATGAATGAACCAATATGTTTTTTGCTCCAATATCTCTCAAATCTCTTTCAGCATCGTATTTCAGATCATTTGACACGCTAAACCTGAAGATATAAAAAGCATATATTCTGTAAGTTACAGCAGAAGTTCAAGAAGCAGTTGCTAGAACGTTTGTTCAAAGACAGATTACGCAGAATTTAAGTACTACAGTCACTACAGTGACTGCTCTAACAAATTCTGACACACTTACCAGACTGCTCTTTTTCTGCCTAACAAGTAATTTTCATAGATTATTCCAGCTATGGTCCTTCCTTTTCCTACGCCAGCACCATCACCTATCAAGAATCCAGCTCTGTCTCCATTGGGCAGGAATGTTTCATGTTGCTGTAGGAGAAAGAACAAAAAACTCGTACCTGTTCTCCAGAACACATCACTGAATTGTCAGAGATGAGCAAACGTAAGAAACATCCTGCTGGATGAGACCAGTGGTCCACCCAGCCAAGCAGCCTCCCGATAGCAGGAAAAGGGATTTTTTAGGGAGAGCACGTGAGCCTACCTGCTTTACATGATCCATTCTCCCCCTTCTTCCCTCAGCACCTAGAATTGCTGTAAAATTGCTGTACATATCTAATTCTTTTAGTACTTACTACCAGACCGGCTGCTTTTATTAACCCACTGATACGCACCTCTACAGACTTTTGTGGCAGCAAGATCCAGACATCCACTGCCTGTGTAAAGAAGTATTCTTCTATCCATTTTAAACCAACCTCCTATCAAGTTTCACCAAGTTCTGCTTTGTTCTTGTTTTGTAGGATTCCACTGCCTTCTTGATTACGTAAACCTTCATTTCATTACCCTCCATTTTTCTCCTCTCCAGCCTGAGGCATCTCAGCCTTGTTAGTCTCTTTTCAAGAGGCAACTTCTTCCCTCCCGTGACTGTTTTAGTTGTCCTCTAACTTCACTACCTTCCTCCCTGACACGCTGGGAGCTGCATGCACAACATCTGATGTGGGCCCACTGACGTTTAATACAGCAGCAAAATAACACCTAGTCTTGTTCTCTGTACCCTTCCCAACGATGCCAAACAGTGTTGGCTTTCTTAGCCTGCTGCTACTGCAGCAAGTTATTTCAGAGAAATAAAGACAATGACTAAGACGTCCTTCCTGAGTTTTAAGACAGCTTGAGATCAGCATCATGGAAGCAGTTTAGACAAAGCTTTTCCTAGGTGTATTACCTCACATTTATCTGAACTGAAGCTCACCTGCCACCTTCTAATGCAACTCAAACCTTTAAGCTCTTAATATTTTACCTCCTTGTAAAACTGACATAGCTGCACTTGTCAGATAGTATTTTTCTTCTTAAATTCTACGTTAGCTTTTAAGCTGTACTAATGTCTAGCATACCTGGGCTGCGTAAGTGATTGCTTCAAGTTGCAAAGCTGACAACCAGCCACTATCAATTGTTTCTTCCGATATTGATGTCTGGTACCACACATCAGGAGGAGTCACACTGGATAATGAGCTGGTTTCCACTACGGGATCAGGATGACGTAGACCAATTTTTACTGGTTGAAAAGGGAGGGGGAAGAAGGGAGAAGATGAAAACATAATACAGAGTTCTGTTGCTGCAGCATAGGTTTTATATTTACCAAAATTAAGTTACAATTGTCCATTGTAAAGGCTGAACTCAACAACAACTATGTTCCATTGCAACAGTACATCAAGTGTTAAACAAACTGCATCACATAAAGGAATACATTAACCTGAATTTATGTAACTGCAGTTTTAACTGTGTTTCTCTTCTCACCACCTTCCCCCAATTTTTATGGAATTAGATAAAATTCCGTTCATAAAAAATTAAAGCATTTGTGTAAACACGTTTGAGAAAAACTAGTCTGAACCTTGCGTTCCCAAAGGCCAGAGGCAGCCTCAAGATGCCAGAATCACAAAAGCAAAATTCTTCTCACTATTTATATAGTGCTGTTTTTAAGCAATATGAGAGAAAAGATTTAGAACAGACGTGGTTTAATTGCCGACAGATCTCCGTGACAATAAAAATTAACCATTTAGCTACAAACTCCACGCAAAATTTTTTGCCTTGCTTTTACAGCACATCAGCAATGTACCTAGGAAACAAGGTAACAGCTTTTTGTCACTGACTACAACAAAGAGAAAGGAGAAAAAAGAGGAGATAGCAATTAACAGTAGTGAAAGACTCACTTTTAAAAAACACAACCAAAACCAAAAACAAAACAGCTCTAAGTCAGTCAGGAACAATGCAGGGAGAATGTGCTTAGGGTAATTTCACACCAAAAGACTCAAACTAGATTCTTAAGTGTAGCATTGACCACTTAATCCCTTTACAAAATTTCCTCTGCTGAGGCACAAAGCATCTTAACACAGGTAAAAAAAGACTGATCCTGGTTCATCAATCTCATTTCTGAAACAAGTACTGCTCAAAGATACACTAAAGAATTCCTTTTCTATTAGAAAAAAAATCTGCGTACCTTCCAAAACTAAGCGCTATAGAAGAGAAAGATTTCCTAGGAAAACCCACCACAAATTCAGGTCCTTTTTACTTGATTCAGAGAGTAACCTAGCAGGTTTTTTGGTTTTAGTAACTACAGAAGAGTAAATAACAAATTAGCTCTCAAAACATTTCAGCCTTTTGACATAACAAAACTTTAGGTCGTACATTTTATTGGCATATACTCAGCGTAAGTTTCTGCATGGCCCATTTCTTCCTCATCTTCTTCCTCAGGTTCTTCCTCTTCTTTTACTGCTGGCACTTTCTGCAATAGAGAAATACCTGCAGTAGTCACACAGCACATTGTTAATACTCTATGTCCTGGAAATTAACATGAGAAATGAAATGAGCACAAACTTGCACTCGAATGTTTTCACATGACCTAGATGAACCAGTGAGGAGCAGGGAAACTACAAACGGAAATGTAGATTTCTTACACTCTGAACAACCCTTTGAAGACACAAAGTCAGGGAACTTCCTCTGCTTTGCAAAGACATTCAAGTACTGCAAACTCACATACGCAGAATTAAAAAAGAAACACTTCTTACAGCATTTTAAATCCAAACCAGGACTTAAAGAAAACTGCCTTGTAAACACAACAGCTAGTTAACAGCCAAAACCTAACTTTCAAGTACTCCCATAAAATCTCCTGCAGTTTCACATTCATTACGTGATTTTTAGAACTTAGGGGAATAGTTTATAATGGTCACAGTTCTATCCAGTATTCTCTGAAACCTGACAGTTACCCATTGTTTACTGTGATCTTGATCAATGTAAATATATGAATATTTTTAAAGTACTCGCTAGATAACAAATCAAAAGTCTTCCACAATTACTAATTCATTGTTTAATATAAAAAAGTAATCTGAAAATCCTTCTGTATGCCAGTCACTAAGGAGCACTGTTCATCACAAACTTTAGCCTGATTCTGGCTATCAGTGAAGATGCTGAAACTCAAGTGTTTACCGCATCAGAATGTATTTTTACTACATTTAGAAAATGGAACGATACTCAATTTACATCTTAAATCAAACCGCCCAGAAGGTCAGCCGTGCTAGAGAAAGTCTTCCAGTTTCCTAGTTGCTAGTTATACAAATGGGGATACTTTAAAAGAAATGTCTTAAAACACAGAGCAAGTGATATGCTTATCAGCTTTAATTGGAGCACACCCTTCTTTGTCCATACAACGAGGTTCCGTTAAGGACAGTAATTTCTTGAAATTGTCATTTACTATACAGGTAGTTTGCTCTGCACAGCTGTTAGTTTTAGTCATCTAACCAAGTATTCATCTAGTGGAGAAACTAACCTTTTGAACAAACAGATGCCCTCGATAATTCTACCACACAAAAGGCATATATGAATAACTACTGAAACTAGTCACAGGTGGCTGAGGCAGATAAAATATACATTCATTTGGCAAATTAACCATTTGTACTACTTACCATAGTAGGTGAAAAACTTCTCATTTTAATATCATTTATCCATATTCTTGCTACCTCTTTTGTGGAAGCCTCCTTCTTCACTGCACCATTGCTTAGATCGGCTACAAAAGAAAAGTTGTGTTTTACAGGAATTCCCTCCAAACATGGACTCAAATTAACAACCTTCTCTATTAATGAGCTGGAAGAGAAGTTTAAGATGTCCAGTAGCACACTGATGCTTCAACAACACAATACTTTTGTCTAAATTAAGAAGTCTGAGCAAGGAATTAAATCCTGTTATTTCTTTGACTGAAGAAACTTCCCATGCAATACCACCACATCTGACACAGTTGTGTATTACGTTCAGTATTTAAAAAAAAGTATTTTGGACCTTCACCAAGTCTGTATATCATCTTTAGAAATACTCCATCTTGTGAGCCTTTGAAGTTTAACAAACCAGAAAGCCCAGTGTTTCAACAGAAATGAACTTACCTGGTCTGGTGGCATTTACCACCTTAGGAGAAACTACGATTATTTCTGTAAAACAAAAAGTCAACACTTTGGACTCAATTGTTTAAAGTCTTAACAAGATCCCTTAAGAGGACAATTTATTAACTTTTGTGTCCTCAGCCACATTTGGAAGCAACTGGCAATAGGTTTCAGTACAGAACTAAAAAAATTTACACAAGGATAGATGTAAAACATTGAAAGCAGCTGTCAAGCTTCCATCATGTTGACGGTCAATGCATGTAACAGTTGGTTTTTAGGGCATTTATGCTAAATTTAAGACAATTGCACAAGTAAAGTTTTCCTCAAAGAGCCTGCATAATTCAACTTTTTAATATTTTCCAATCCAGAACTCCTGCTGCCTGAATTATAAAAGACCATGCTTCCTTCCAAGAGCTTCTCTGCCCTTGAATTTTCTACAAGTATTTGTCACTTTTTTTTATAAGCACGAAGAAGGATCCAGAAACACAAGCACACAAATAAGATTAGAAATGCAGTTCTAGACGTTGCATGTCTCCTTTTTACTTAATACAGAAGCTACAGATTCAACTGTTTTCTGCAGCTGTGCCACTACAACAGCTATTGTGTATTGATGTTACCTATTACTTATGTGCTTGTGTGTTTTCATTTAGCACAAAGGGGATAAGTCAGTCCTAGAAAACCTTCTCCCCCTGCTGCTCTTCACTCCTTTACCCCCCATCCCAACTTCAGTGGTGTCAACTTCAATTTTCGTCAACCACTCCGTAACAGAAAGCAATGAAACAAGGAGGCACATTCTTCTTTTTGTTTCAGTCCTGACAGCTTCATTTATTGTGCACACTATCCGCATATGAAAAAATAGGTTACTTCCAACCCCGCCCATAAAAATCAGTAAATCTTATTTCAGAGACAATAAAAATATTGTAATCCAGAAAAAGGCTGCATTACCCTTCAGAAAAAGCAGCAATAGAGGTATCTTCAAACTCAACTAGTCTGATCTTAACCCCATGCTAAAACCAGAATAACTTGAAAGAATCACATCATAAAAATACACACACATGCAGCTCTTCCCGTACATTGAGCTGACCACGTAAGCTGTCCACGTATCAGAAATAACATTCAAGAAAAGATTATGAAAGGACTCACAAAATGAAGATTTGGAGCATGGTAACAAAATACGTGTGGCATTTAAGTTAACACATTTCAGAAGTAACATGGAAACAAACAGCAAGTTTTTAGGACTTAAGTTTTTAAACACAATAGATCTGATGCTTCCCACAAAACATACAGGGACAGAGATGCTCTTTCCTAGGAGACACTTTACAGAAACACCCTATCATAGGAGTACTAGCATGTACTACAAATCTAGTTTGCAAGATGCCAAAAAGTACTCATTTGTCATTGTTCCACAGCAAATATACAGCAGAAGAGAAACTGATGTAGACTCAAGTAAGATGCTAAATTAACTTCAGTAATGTTCATGAATTAATTTTACCAATTTGCCAGCTGCACTCTAAAATGTCGTTTTCCTCATTCCTTGCAGTAAATCAAAAGCTTTGATTTTTTTTTTTTAAAAAGCCTGTTTTGTATTACTTCACCCTGAATTCTAACACTATTAAAGTTAGAATAGAATTTATCAGGTTTTCTGGACCATTTCATTTTACTGCGATATTCTTACTAATCAATGAAAATACAAGATGTGCAAAGATCTTAATATTATATTATTTCACTATTTGTCTAAAACAATTATGAAGAAAGAAGAAAACTCACTTGCTGCTGTTGCTACTGGTTGGGCAATATTAGGAGGTGGCTTCAATTTCATAAGTTCATTAAGACTGTTATTCTTTAGCAGATCTTTCAGCTGAATCTGGTCCTTCGAAGGTGTAGTGGTCAAGGCATTGCGTACTGCTGGTGCTGCAACCGAGGGTCGAGTAGTTGTGCTGGTCTGAATGATTTTTGCTACAGTGATAGTCTGCCTCGTAGTTGTAACAGGTGTTGTTTTTGTCATCACTATTGTAGTCCCCAAAGTTGGAAGCTGATTTATTTGATTCAGCACAAAGGTTGTGGTGGATGGTGGTTGCTAGCAACAAAGAACCAGGGAAATTTTCAGAAGACAGTGAGAAAAAGCAGACTTTATTAGCCTTTCATCTAGAGCATCTAGGAGTCACCAGTTTCTAAAAGACTCTTGTAATAAGAAATGTCTTCACATAACGTGCTGAAGATGCTAATTATCTTGTGGTGCAACAGTCTCAGCAAGAAGTGCCTATTTATCAATATATATTGCCGTACGTATTTTTGAATGGTATTTTTAGATTTTAAGGTAAGGGAAAGGAAATAAAAAAATAGGATGAAGGATTCATCACCCAGACACAAAACATGACCACTACAGGTACAGGAACCCTGAGCTGAAGAGAATTTCCAATACATAAACTAGCTGCACAATTGTCAGAGTAAGTAGCTTGGGTTACTTAAAGTATATGTGCAGCCTTTTTCAGACACACTGCACTACATCCACCTTCCTGTACATCTGCTTTTTATATTCTGATTTCAGATGCAACCACCAGACTATGGTGCTCAGAATTATCTGCAGCTAGAAAAGGTGCTACACAGTTCAGGTGCAGGAAACAAGTTTACACAACCTCCCTATCCCCAGAATTTGCATGCAGGAGAGGTAAAAGGCACATGGGACACCTCAAATTTTTTTCAGCATACTGCTTTGTCCTCCTTTGTGTTCCTTGTCATAGAAATCGTATCAACCCATGGGTAAGCTAAGCTTTCGCAGTCTTAGTACAAGGAGAACTGAGACGATGGCCAACTGGCATTTTACAGTCCCACCTCTTTTGTTACATTTTACTAATATACTGTATTGGGTTTACACGGCAAGGTTTTGGTAGCGGGCGGGCTACAGGGGTGGCTTCTGTGAGAAGACGCCAGAAGCCTCCCCCACTTCCGATACAGCCAGTTCCACCCAGCTACAAGATGGACCCACCACTGCCCAAGGCTAAGCCAATCAGCGATGTTGGTAGCGCCTCCGTGATAACATATTTAAGAACGGGTAAAAACTGCTGCACAATCGGCAACTGGGAGAGATGAGTGAGAGTATGTGAGAAAAACAACTCTGCAGACACCAAGGTCAGTGAGGAAGGAGGGGGAGGAGGTGCTCCAGGCGCTGAAGCAAAGACTCCTCTGCAGCCCGTGGTGAAGCAGGCTGTCCCCCTGCAGCCCATGGAGGTCCACGGTGGAGTAGATATCCACCTGCAGCCCATGGAGGACCCCGTGCTGGAGCAGGTGGATGTGCCCAAAGGACACTGACCCGATGAGAGGAGCCCACACTGGAACAGGTTTTCTGGCAGGACCTGTGGCCATGCGGGGGACCCATGCTGGAGCAGTCTGTTTCTGAAGAACTGCACCCCGTGGAAAGGGCCCATGCTGGCGTGGTTTGTGAAGAACTGCAGCCCACAGGGAGGACCCAGGTTGGAAAAGTGAAGGAGCTGCTGGAGCAGCAGAAGAGCGCGGGGAGGAAGGAGCAGCAGAGACAACGTGTGATGATGCTGGGAGTGAAGTTGAGCCCAGGAAGAAGGGAGGGGTGAGAGGAAGGTGTTTTTAGATTTGTTCTTATTTCTCATTATCCTACTCCCTTGTTAACTGGCAATAAATTAAATTAATTTCCCCAAGTTGAGTCTGTTTTGCCTGTGACAGTAATTGCTGATCTCCCTGTCCTTATCTCGACCCACGACCCTTTCGTCCTATTTTTTTTTCTCCCCCCATCCAGCTGAGGAGGGGGAGTGATAGAGCGGCTTGGTGGGCACCTGGTGTCCAGCCAAGATTAACCCACCACATACACACATACAAAATCCTGAAGTACCAGTTCTTACCCGAACATTTAATAAGGCTGGAGTCGATACAGTCTCCGGTTCTTGTTTCACAGCAGCTGTGGCCTCAGTCTCCAAGCCTAGTTCTAACGCACTAAGTGGCACTGACTGCAGAGGAAAGAAAGTAAGCATCAGGAAACACTCACATCAGCAGGGAAAAAACCTTAAGACTAAATATCCGCCCACAAAATGGAAGTTAATGGGGAAGTCCTTAACTGTGCTCATCAACAAAGGTTTCACTGAAAATAAAGATCATCAAGTGGTTGGTTTCACATTCAAAGAAGTTAAACATACAACACCTTGTTAGTTAACTGTGGAGAAAATGTAATTAGTTTTGTGATGTCACTGTTCCAACACACTACTGTTCCCAGTCTCTGAAATGCAACATAACCATCTCTGAAACGGTTATGTTCTTGCAGATTGAATACTGTCATGGAGCTTAGACACCATACGATAGTACACTTCTTGCACATTTTATAGGAGAGCAGCTAGACTTCAGTGATATTAGAGTTCTCCATGGATACATGACAGCACGCCCCCATTTAATGTCCAGAAGTTAAGTATATTCATGTTTATACTGACCTCAATAGTGTATTTCAGATTGCTTTTCTGTATAAAAGTTTAAAGTTAATTAGCAAGTCATTTTCTAATCTCAATACTGTGAAGCAAGAAATGTATGAAAACTCCACATTCTTTAACAACCATGTGCTATGGACACCACACCCCCCTCCACAATACATCAAGTACAAGCTCTTATGTCCTCTAGCAAACAACTATGTTCTTGT